CCAAATCTTCTCCGTCAATTGCGACTGGATTGGTGCATGCTGTGTTGTATCGGAGAATCTTGCTTTTCCCTTTGTGTATGTTGAGACCTACTGCTGCTGAGGCTGCTGCTACACCGGTTGACTTCTGCATTTGGTGTTGTGTATGTGATGAAGGAGCCAGATCACTTGCGAAGTTCAGATTGTCCAGCTGCATTCTAGCTTTCTGCTGTATCCTGTGTTTCCCCCATATGTTGACTTCTTCATGATCCAGTGGATCATCAGGAAAAAGAGAAAAGGCGAGAGCGAGCAACGTTGTCTGACACAGGTCATTACTTTAGTCGAATCTGTCAGCTGTCCTCCACGCACGATTTTGCAGTTCGATCCATCATAGGAATTTCGTATGATATTGACTATCTTCTCAGACACTCCGTGGTGTCGAAGAAGCCTTCATATTGTTGTCTTGTTCATGTTATCATATGCTTTCTCGTAGTTAATGAAGTTGATGTAAAGTGACGTAGAGTTAATTAGAAGTCTAAAATAGTTGCTGAAGATTCCAACGCCAGTGTTACTATGACCCCAAACCAATTACAAGGGGGATTAAATCAGTTTTCGTTCCACCACTACCCCCGTCACTTTGATCACATTTACGTACTTTCAGTAATATGACACTTCTACTATACCTATTTCTGTTAAACGCATCAGTTAAATTAAATATTTAAGTACTCTGTCAACAACGTTGGAGGGTTTGGACCATTGAAGTTTGTTTCTTCATACTGGAAATCAATTCCCTGGCTGTCATACGCCTAACATAGTTTCATCTAGACGTGGAACTCATCGACCATTAAGTTTATGGATATTTCGACCAATACAAATCGGTAATGAAGAACATCAGACAGAAGTGCTAACAATGCTGATTAACGGTATCAACTTTTAGATCCCTCTGATTAACCGCAACTGTGGATTATGTTTGTCATATTGAGGTGGGTATTGGTCTCCTACCATCAGATCCACTTATCGACTTAGAATTCGCAGATGACAGTCCTGTCTGGTGAAGACCCTGATAAGATACAGAGTCTCTTGGCAGCACTTAGCAACAGTACCAAGATGTTCGGGATGTGTTTCTCTCCTCTAAATGCAAATTGTTACTTCAGGACTGGCCTACCTCAACACCTGAACTAAAAATAAGGAGTAAATTAGTCGAATGTGTCGACAACTTCACTTATCTTGGAAGTCAGATCAGCCCTAATGGGTCGGTGTCTGACGAAATCTGTGCACGAATTCGAAACGTTCATTTGGATTTCACCGACTTATGTGACCCATGATGAAGGGGAGATATCCGTCTATCAATTAAGGGACCGGTGTACTGCTTGGCAGTTTGTTCTACTTTACGGCTGCGAAATGTGGCCATTAAGGGTAGAGGATACACGTAAGTTATTAGTATTTGACCACAGACGTCTTAGAAAGATTTCTCGGATCCGCTCTAATTGCCAGGTAAGTAATAGTGGGGTTAGACGCAGAGTATTGGAGAGTGATGGCAAATCGGTTGATGCGGTTGTGAATCTTCATAGACTGAGATTTTTGGATCACGTGTCACATATGCCTGGACATCGGTTACAGACATATTAATACCGCATTCTAGCTGTTGCTTACTGATTGGCCGAAACATTATTTTCCCTGGAGACGTGAAATTTCTAGTTCAGTTTCCTTCTCCTACTGGGTTACACGCAACCTAGCTAACTCTAGTTGTATCAGGTTATTGGTTATGGGTTCATCCTTATAAAACTGGTCTTCATCATAATCTGCCATATGATGGGGTGATAACTCTGGAATCTCATCAGATTTATGGTACATATTGGAAGCCATTTCAGTGGGTATATCAAATTTACTGTTCGAAAGTTTGTAGGAAGTAATTTCTTGCATGTGAAATTCTAAACTATCCTCTTGACTGTCGAACCCAGAGTCTTAGCTTAGCCGAAGTCAGAATAAGTAAGCTACTTAGCTCGATAAATTTCATCTGTTCTAAAACGTAAGTTAACACCGTTAGTATTCAAAATAAACAATTAATACTGTCTCTTAAACAAGGAAAAAGAGACATAAATAACTTATCGAATAGTAACTACAGGATGAGAAGAATGAGTCAACAAAGCGAACAATACGTCATGGTAAACATAAAACTGTGATTGGTGAATAAGCAAAGCACAGTCTTGACCATTATTTGCTATTGTGTGTGGGATAGAAGTGCTAGGTGGTCTGAGAAGTTCAAATCGTCTAGTTGTTGATTGTATTCCGTGCTACTCCTCAGATGTCAGTCTTCATAATCCAGTCAACCACTAGAAGAGTGACAGTAAGCAGCTTTGTCTGACTCCGCTCCTCACTTTGAATGAGTCTGTCAGCTGTCCTCTACGCAAGACTCTGCAGCGTGGTCCGTAGCATGAATTCTGTATGATGTTGACAATCTTCTCAGCTACTCACATCACAACGTCTAAGAAGGTTCCGTAAGGTTCTCCTGATCACGCTGTCAAACGCCTCCTCATAGTCGAGGAAGTTGAAGTATAGTGAAGAATTCCATTCAATTGACTGTTCACCGATGATCTATGGTGTCACGATTTGGTCTGTGCACGACCGATCCTTACGGAATCCGGTCTATTCATGTCGAAGCTGAGTGTCTACTGAATCTTTCATCCAGCTCAGTGACACTCCGTTGAAAACGTTTCCTTCTACCGATGATAGTGTGATGCTTTTGTAGTTTTCACAGTTGGTCACATTTCCTTTCTTTAGCATCTTGATGAAGTATCCTTCTTTCCAGTCTGTCGGTAGCACTTGTCCTTCCTAACAAGTCTTCCTGAATAGAACGTGCGACACGTTCACAGTTGCTTCTATGTATGACTTCCGTGCTTCGACTTGCATATTGTCAGGTCCCGCTGCTCCTCAATTCTTGATTTGTCTGATGGTCATCCCGATTTCTCCAGTCGTTGGTGGGTTGACATCTTCAGCGAGGTCTGATGTCCGATGGATTCAATAGGGCTGGTCTGCTCAAGAGTTCTTCCAGGTGTTCTACCCACCCATTCCACTGTTCCTAAATTTCAATGGTTGGCTTGGCTTCTTTGTGTCTGACTGATTGGTCTGGTATACAATACTTGCCTTCTAGTTTCTTCATTTTATCATATGGTTGTTTGATATTTGGTGCTTTTGCGACTTTTCCCTCTGTCATTGTTCGGTTTCAATTGGTCCTTCTGATCCCCCACATTGTCCGGACATTTAGTGTACCCATAATTATTGTTGTTCTGGTTGTTAGAAAGATTGTCAGACTTGTGACTTCCGAAGTATCTTGGTTTTCTTCGTGAGGTGTCATAATTCTTCTAAAAGAAAATTCTTCAACTTTCAAAAGAGAGTCTAAATGGTTTAAAGTTTTTTCTGGCTGGCGTTTCTTTGTCAAAGTTGTTTCCTACGGGATGGGGTAGCTGACACCATGTCCAACTCTCCTCCTTTCTCTGGACTTGAGACCGGCATTAACCCTAGAAGAGTTTCAGGCAGTTATACAGTCAATAATGAGCCAACTTTTCATTATATTTATAATGGTAAAAATCTCATTATTTTTGAAGATTTAAGGAACTTTCTTTTTATTGAAATTCAGGAATCAAGCTCTTCTATTAAAAGGAATTGATGTTTGTTGTTTGTTCACGAGTATTTTCTTGAGATATTTTTTAGTTAGCTGAGTACAGCGATCTGTACCCTACAAATTACTTTCCAAAACATGAATAAAACACCACTATGGCTTACATCCGAATAGATAATCAACTGATTATAACTGCACATGATCTTCTTTGCAGAACGAAAAAATATTTCTGCTCAGATGGTATTTATTCGGTGTGGCTATTTTTTTAGTTTTATGTCGCCACAGTAAATTCAGAATTTTGTCTTGAACTGAGTCAGATGTTCTGATTTTGGTCTCTGACTACAGATAACAGCGTGTTGTTTAACAAAACACCCGTGGTATCTAGGTTTGAACAATTAATGAATATAACTGTTCAATTGGTTACTTTTTATTCTAATATTCAAACAAAAATGTTGATATTCGTAATACATACCCAGGAATCAGGAAAAAATCACGACCTTTCCCACACAAATACTGACAATCTTCTGTGACAAAAAAACAGAAAATAGACTTCTTGTATCTTCGATAGTTATAGAAACATGATTAGAAATAAGGTCGTGCAAGTTGTAGCTGTCAGTGTACATTAGTGACGTCATGCTTATTCACGGAAAGATCTGCTTATTGCCTGTCAGAAATTGGTTAGTTTTAATTTATACCTTCCCACATTTACTATGGGGGTGAGAGAATCGAGATGTCATGCTAGTGGATACAACACGTGAAAAGACACATCTTTCTTGGGCACGACTGTTGACCTTGAGAAGTAGGCTAGAATGCACATTAATTTAAACCAATGAGAACTTATATGTAGACAGGGATAATTTCCACTCTGGTCAGTCAGATGCCGTGCTGAGAATATAGGGAAGACAATCAAGAGATGATGTAGGTATGTGTTACGAACATTTCTACCTAGTAAATCTTGTCAGCTGTGGTTGAATGAAATAATCCCATACTTTGAATTTACAACCCTATCAGCAATGTATCTATTTTACAAGATGTGAGTATTCATTAACAAATTGATTATTTCCCATAAGCCTATGTTTAAATATATTTCAATAAATCGATAGTTTTACATCAGCTGTCCACGAATCAGTTTGATGTCTTAAACTGGATTTGTGTAGTTTTTAATGCTTGATATGTGATATATTTTTTGAAATTTAGTAGAAAATTTTTCATGTAAGTGGCATATTGTACCGAGATGCATTAACTTTATTTGATTTTTTTCTGTGATCACAAATTGCCATTGTTACATTACCATAAATTAAAAATACATTTTTATAACTTCTATAGATATTTTAGAATAAAGTTATTCTAAAGGAATCCATTCAACAAGCAACTGAATTTAAAACTTCAATATTTTCATATCCCGATGTTTGTGGAAATAACTGTCGCAGTAAATTATATATTATCACATTTATACACAAAGCTTCCGAGACGTCGAGTTGATAGTTTCGGTGAAGAACTTGAAAAGTATCTTCTAGCCAAATTCCAACACCATTGGTACCCTAGTGACCCACTTAGAGATTCTGCTTATCGGTGCATTAATTCTGTCGGTCCTCAGGTAGATCTTCTACTTCCTGAGGCAGCAGCTGTGAGTGGGTTAGAATGGAGTGAAATAGAAACATGTCTTCCAGAAGGTCTCATTATAAGTGTGGATCCAGGACATGTGGTGTGCCAATATACCCAGTCTAACTGTACAAGTCATGACAGATTCCTTTCGAACCATTGGCCATCATCACCAATTTCCTTGTCATCATCTGGATGTTCTTCTGCATCTTCTATCTCATCATCCAACTTGACAAATTCATCTCAGATTACTCACCAAGTTCTTTACAGTTTACAAGGTGGATGGGTTACGAACAATACAAATATGTTAGATGGAAGTAAACGAGGTCAGTTTCTAACAAAACTTAGACGTTTCGAAAATGATCATGGCGATTTACTGTCTACAGCTGCTGCTTTGAGTGTGTTAGTTGAACCTGATGAAGGAATCGACACCAAATTTGAGCCTAATACAATGTATGGAGTAAACTCCTTAGCTTTGAACCATTCAAACTGGAACAATGAATCTTCTGTAATCAGTACATCTGTAATAAATCAAGAAGAACCTCCTAAAACTGAACCAAATGAATTTGATTTAAAATCTATAAATCCCCTACAAGCTGAAATGTATCATGAGAAAGAAATGTATAAAACAATGAATACTTTTCCATGGGGTGTTTCTGAAAACGTGAAAGAATCTTTTTTATCTATAACAGGTAATGATCCGATTGGCGGAACACCATCAACAACTCAGTCTGTTATTTTCAATGCCAAAACAAATACATTCCATTCATTTCATCGTTCCTCCTCTAATCCTCCTCATTCAGGTCAGTTAACAACAACCCATGGTAAAGAATTTATTGCACTGTCAGGAAATTTTGAGAATTCAAATGTTCTGTGCTCAAAATCTGATCAACCATTCAATCAAATGTTAACAAATCCATTACCGAAATCATATCCAACATACATACAACCTCTTAATTCATCACATCCATTCGTTCAAAAATCTACATCTACTCCAAGTTTTTACAGCGGCTACTTTTGCTCAAACTAAATTTGGCTCAACTAAGTTGAAAAGTCATCCAAAACGTACACCTACTCGTATTCTTTCCCCAGCAACTGTACAACAAACTATTACAGCTAATGAGAATTTCTTATCAAACGATAGTGTTCTGACCAACTTTTTAACAAATAACCAGGTAAATAATAATGACAGTTACAGCATTCACTGTATTATTAATTATTTTTTTTATAAATAGTATGGTTTTCAGTTTGTAATTAAGATATCATGACTATGTACGGAATATGTCTAACGTTACTGTGTAATGATGTCAATATTATAAACAATAAATTATAGAAGTTTGTAAGTTTACGAGCTGAGCGTATTGGGAAGGAGTAAGTTCAAGTTAAAACAAATCTGTTTTCTTTTAAAAAGATACAGTTCAGTAATATGTATATTTACTAATCGTTATTTAATCTATCTTAAACCTAAAAAGGTATATTGTTTTACGATTCTTCATATTGAGTAATAATTAATCTACGTAACTAATTTGCCATAAACAGCTTTGTGAACTTCGCGCTGAACTGAACTGTTCCCTAAACCTAGATGGGATTGAAACCTGGGACTGACGCATAGAAAGGTGAAAAAATTCACAACTAAGCTGTCATTTGATTTACACTCAAATACACGACTGATATCTGATTATATGCTACTTGGGTGATATACAGTATTTTGACTAATATTTATCATAAAAAATAAAGGTCATCAGTGATGTTTAGTTGACTGAATAAGTCAGATATTTAATTATACGATGATCTACGTAACTATGACACTTCTTTGAATATCACACTAATACAGTATCGTTTATTTTTGAGCATAGCTTCATCATTATTTACTAAAGTCAGTAGTCAGTCATAAACAATGTAAAACATGGCGTATACGTGTTTTGGTCCGAGGTGCTCTATCATATTAGCGCAGAGCGATAAGATTATCAAGTCACATGGTAGAGTATTAGAAGTAGTAACAGTTTCAATGAAAGTAGAAACATCTAGGCTTAGACATTATAATCCAAGAGGAAAGAATGAATTCATGTAATAAAATAGTGTAAGATAATTTTGAAAATCAAGATCTAAGGGGAGACAATGTATCTTCACCATTTTGACGGATTCTGAGCCATAAGGAATAAGTCGTCAGACAAATAAATAATTTTATTAGATATTTTTCTTTTGTTAGTAAAATTGTTGAAAATGTGTAAAATTTCAGGTACAAAAGTACGGAAGTTATTTTGCGAATTTTGATTAAATAAAATTGACACTTTTACATCGTTATCAAAATTATTTCCCAATCGTTTATGCATCCTAAACATCAATCTTACGGGGATGAAAAAACTGTTTCTATTGTATATTTTATTAGCTACTGTCATACATCCGATGTATAAATGAGGAACAAATTTAAAACACTGATGCTCTGAGTTTTATCTAAGTATAAATAATATTGATAACTATATGTCTGAACTAACTTTAATCGTTCACTAAATTTCACACTGAATAAGTGAAAGTTAATATTCAAAATAATATATCTTATTGCGCTATTTGGTTGTATCGAAAAGGCTGTTAATGTTCCAGCTGAACAATGAAATTATTCAGGTGTATAGAATGCCTGGATATATTGTATATTTCGAGTAAACTTTCTAATAAATATGTTTAAGCAGTCAAAGTTATTCATGCTTTATACAGTGAACTGAGTCATTTTCTATACAATTCAAACGAGTAAGATAATCATTTATTATTTAGATAAAATCTATTAAAATAGAGATCAAAAACTTAGTATGTTGAAAAGCATAGATGTATTCAAATTTCTATGATTCGTACTAGCTTAAGAAGAGAAGGATTAAAGAAAGAAACCAAGAAAGTGGAATTGATAAAATACTACGGAAGTCCTAATAAAACAAGTTATTATATAAATTAAAAGATATAGAACAGTACTTTCAAGATTTAACAGAAAAGAAAGTGTTATGTCGTTGTCATAACCGACTTCATATTGCGTCATCCTAATTCTCATCATTGGTTTCCGTTGACTAGTGAATCTCTACTACGAAGTTTACAGTTACACATATTGTTCAGACACTTACTAAATTTGTCGACTGAACTTCAGTTAACATTGTTAGTTTTAGTTGGGATTGCTCACGCTTGGATAAAATATGTACTACTCATTCAAGGTGACGTAAGTCCATTTCTTCATCAAGTGAATTATCTACTAACGTTCTGTACCCTACCTCGGTTTCCACATCACAAATGATTAATACCTCATATTACCACCAATCTTCAGATCGCTAGTGACCTTTTTTGTACAATAACATAGTAATGGAGGGTAAACCATCTCAATATAGACTCTTCCATTAAAAGTTATATAAACTGGAGATGGGTTCGTAAATTTCTACAATTCCTCTAATGAAGAAAGTGCACTTCCGAACTCCATATCAAGTCATTGACTATTCGTATTACCTTTATACTTTTTTACCGAGCGCAGTTTGAACAAATAAAAAAAATTAAGCTATAAGTTACAAGAAATCCTAGTAGCAGTCTAAAACTCGAGCATAATCATAGTAACCAATGGAATTAACTTTCAGGTAGGTAGACTAAGACAAGTGGAAAGATACCTAGGTATCGGTTTGGGAACTTTTTGAGTATGTTAAATTTTGAAATATAGCATTTAGAGATAAATCAGTCTTAAAGTTTATATATTGATTTATAGTGAATCTTGTTTATTATCAGTGTGAGATTGTGTAAATTGTTGAGTTTTTAATTGAGATCATGAGTCGATCAATGTTAGACCACCATTAAAAACCTGGAAGCACTGAACAGCCGTTTCGTTCTAGTATGGAACTCCTGTGCAGTGCTCATCCACGACTCCACACGCGGGACTCGAACCCGGGAACCACGGTCTCGCTTAACCTTTATACCACTGAGCCGGTATCTAACGGTGTTATTGTCTAACTTCAACCAAAGTGATCATCAATGTAAATCAACATATATTCTGTAATTACTTTCAGAAGATAAATATTATATATAGTAAATGTTAAATTGGATCTTTTCTGTTTTAACTACAGCGTTTCGATGCATCGAATTCATCAAACATGAGTGCATTTAGAAGTTTTTTACCAATGAATATTGATATAAATACAACTAAACAAACCGGTTATATAACAATGAGTGAATCGAATATTTCTGATCACAATGATTATCTTAATATAAATTTACATGAAAATGGGAATTCAATATCTGAAATGAAATTTCTACCCATTTCATTTCATCAAAGAAATACATATAATCGTAGTAATAATAACCACATTAATAATAACGATACTTTTTTAATATCGAATTTAGAAAATTACCTATTAAATTCATCGGAAGATACTAGTCCAAATAGTGTTTTGGAGAGGATTCATTTGAATGAGGTTAGTTTAATTGATATGATGTATTTTTTTTATATCGTTTACTTATTCGATTGCCACTTACTATAGTAGATGATATAGAAGTGTGTTGCGAAAGAAGGATAGGAGCGGCTGCAGTAAAACATTGTCAGTTCATAAAGTCCTTAACTGTTGATCAACATCTTATCAAAAAGGGTGATGGCTATCTAAGTTGAGTCAGCAAAATAATCGTAATCTACAGTTGAATATTATTGATTTGAACACAGATATTGTCCACTATTTTATTTAACCTCCCGTCCCTGTACTGACGTATGATGTGGAATACAATTATATTTAGCTATGAAATATTAAAAATGAGTGAAGCATATGCCCTTTGATTCCTGTTCGAACTATCATAGAACTATATTTCCCAATTTCTATCATACTTCAAAAACACGTCATGTAAATAATGAATCCCCAAAAATCAACTTATGTGCTACTCTATATTATTTAGTGATTTTTTAGGTAGATTTCTTTTATTAATATTAATGGCCAGAAATAATTATTCAATATTCATGTCAAAATAATTTTTTACTCGATATGAAATAATATGTACCAATAAAATGTGATCCATCCATTAGTTATTCAAATAAAAGAATGATACTTAATTGATTCTTCTACTATATGTATAGAAATACTAAAAGGATTCATCCATCATGTATTCTGTACTTCAGTAAATATTTAGAACGGCTGATATTTTGTTCTTTACTGTTTTTAATGCACGAATAAAACGATATATATATATTCAACAGTTATTTTTAAAGTCACAGAACATAGCATATAACATAGTTCAGTTGTACTTTTACTTAAGTTCTCATACATTTTAACAAAATAATCATATACAGATATAAAAATAGGGGCATAAAACTTTCTTAGATTTATAGGAAGAGATTTTAAGGGAAAGAGAATAAGCCAATTTCAAATGGTAATGAATACAATAGTTACAAGTAATTACAAGTAAGTTTTATCATGACGGACTGACATCACGAGAAAAAACTATTGAAAAATTGGAAGGGATTGGATAGTTGCTTCTTCGTAGTAATCCGAGACTTAACAATTGAACGCAACAAGCTAAGTTCATAATCCCATTATTATTATTATTATTATTATTATTATTATTATTATTATTATTATTATCCACTATAGTTAATGAATAATTGGTTTACTATCAAGTGTATTCTTCCATAAGAATCGTAAACGAAAACAATAGCATATATACAATATTTATTTGTTTGTCATAATACTTCATTTATCGGTAATCTGTGATTGAAAGTACCAAAATTTCTAAAAAAAATATAAGTTTTACTGTTTTCTTTTCGGAATTCCATTCAATAGTTATTAGTCGATTATCACAGTCTATTGATTTCTAGTATTGACAAAAAGACCAAGAAAACGTTTTATCAATAACTGCTGTGACCTTGAGTATATTTAGATTTTGGTTTGTTTTGATGTTTTTTCTCCCAGCATAAAACCTCAAAGTTTGCCTAGTACGAAGTTGTTTCATTTCCCAGAGCCAAATCATTTGAACGATACTCTGTACTTTTGAAGTGAAAATAAATTTTTCAAGAAATTTGACTCAATGTAAACTAAACTCGGATGGATTATAGTGTTTATATTAGTGAGAAGAAAAGCTTTTCTACAAGTGACTAAAGTCAACTGGGAGGGGAGTGGACACCAGTCAGTACTTCACAGATGTTTAGCCTAGTTTAAGAACTCCAGAATGTTTGATCCCTCATGGATTCATCAAGGCTTGGATCTGGGATCTAGCCATCAACACATCCAATGATTCAGACTTCAAACTAAAACGAAAGAAAATAAGACAAAAACAAATTGAACACTTCCGTTTATAAAATCCTCGTCACTAGATTGATATCGACGTAAAAATACAACCAAACGTGATGCGTATTCTAATTGTATTCCCTTGACAGTTTAGAACAAGTTAATAATACTGTTTATTGTAAGCTTGGATTAGATATGATTTCGCTCCATAAATTCGTGACAACTACAGAAAAGCCATTTAAAATTGTGAATAATATTTAGGATAACAAAATAAATGTGTATAACATGCTCCTCCAAATAGCATTGTGAACAAATAACCTTCTGGTTATTAGCAGAACAATGTAGCTTATGAAATTAACTAACTAGAAAGTAAAACAGTAAATAATCTATCAATGATTTCGACTGAAAATAACACTATGTCACAAATATGACTAACGTTGAAAAATAGGCTATTGTATTTTCATTTATCAACTTAGTTGTATTGTATTATCTTCATGACTAGACTATTTCAGTTTTCATCCCTTGTGCGCATGTGTACCTGAACATGTATAGGAAATCCAATAGTAGAATATAATATCCCTTCGAAGAATGTCAGTTTTTCGATAAAAACCGTTTTGAGAGACGGGTTTGTATATACATTTATGTATTTAAACTATTTCATATAGGTTGCCTTCTAAAGTTAGCCTGTCATATGCCCTGATGGTGTTCTCGTGACTTTCGGGTTGCTTGATTCTGTCAAGGGCGATGGAATAGTGTATGAAGCTACTGTTATTTGCTAGGTTGAAGGAGAGTTGTATGCTATATGCATGCCAATCTGCCATGTTATAGTTCCTACTTAACGTTAAACGTTTGTACAACAATATTAATGTTCGCTCTATTCAATACCATTAATTTGATTACAATATAAAATTCTCATCACGTAGTATAAAATATTACAACCAATTACCGTATAAGTCACTTTAAATTATTAATATTCAAAAGTATGTATCTGATAAAAATTAGTCAACAACTAGTCACTTCAATTCATCTTTATATGAAAATGCTCTTAGACAAGTTTGGCTCCTATAACATCCTTTACCATCTCATAATACATTTAATGTATGAATTCCAATTAAATTACCTTTTTGCTTTTCCGAATACACAAAGCGGAAAGTATATTGCCCATCGAGATGCTCCCGTATGAATTTATCAGTAATTATCTCATCCGGTTTAAAGATTATTTTATTAGAGCATTTGATTACACTGAAGAGTCATTACGCATAACCGAAAATAGAAAAATTCATAGCCTCATTTCTATGACTAGAAAAGAGATGGGCTAAAAGTTTGAGCAGGTTATTGTTAAATTGTATTTGATATTAAATGGTCAAATCCGATTGAGTAATCATTCATAATTTCTGAAAGTAGTCATGAAATTATTTGTTTCAAGGGTGATATATTAATGAAGTGTTGTTTTATAGTTTGTTACTGTAACATGGAAATGTAGCGAAAATGAATATTTATGTTCGTAAGCATAGTATATCTAAACGTTTAGGTACTTTTTGTTGTTAGTACGGGAACAATAACTTTTCTGCTGAATATATAGATATATATATTTCCATGTATACTGTTTAGGTTCATAATGATGGTCATACTGCAACGAGTTATTGGCAATCATCATTTGAAAAGCATTTACAATCTACCAATATGACAATGGTAACAACAGATGAAATAGATCTGAAATCAGACAATACAGATTTTACCAATTTAGCTGATTGCACAAATTGGAATAATAATTATTATTCATCAGCTAATAGAACCACATTAATCATGTATCGAACAATTTACTTTTGGACAATAAATTCAAAAGTAATTTAACAGGACTATCATCAATCTGTGTTTCCGGTCCTGCTGAACAGCATCAGACTCAGCAACAACAAGTAAACATGAAAACAAACGAAAATTTAACCGGTAGCATTGAAGCACCGACATCAAATGACGTTTCCAACATTAATAATGATTGTCTATTAGATGATGTTCTACTTTCTACACAGATGGTAAATTTGCTCTTAGAAGAGGACAGTCTAACTGATTCAAATTATCGTGAAAACGTGTTCAATTATTTACATTCAGATGATGAAATAGGATTTAAAAATATTAAAAGTCATTTGACCTTAACGAACAAAGAAAGTGATCAGAATGGTAAAGATATTCATACTGATAATAGTATTAGTTGTAATAATGGTCATTTAGCGTTCAAAGAAGTAGAACCAATTACAAAATATAATGAATCTAATTTAATTCATACAGGAACATCGATAGCTGGTTCAGTCACAGATAATATGCCTAGCATGGTTGCAACATAAATTGTTTAGTCTTTCTAGAAAATTCAGGAAGACTTTTTGATTTGTTCCTAGTTGCAAAACTTCCATATTTTTCCCATCGCTTTATTCTTATTTTATGGTTTTCCTGATTTTCTCACTAACATTATCGTTCTTTTCTCTCATGCTCAAGTTTTTGGTTATTTTCTATACATTTATACATGCAGATTAGTATAACTATTGCTAATTGTCATTACCATTTACAAAATACCATCACATAACTGAAAACTTAGAGTCCATCATTGTTTTTTGTGTTACCCTTTCCTAATGAAGACATAAACAACATAATACTTTATTTTTATCTATTTTTCACTGTTAGTTTTGTTATATTTCAATGATTTATTTTCACAAAAAAAATAACCAAAACTCTCCCAATTCTGTCAACTTCATTTCCTTAAATAGGAATAAACACATCGTAGAACTACAGACACACACATAGATTATATATATACTATACTTACTGATCAATAATAAAACTACGGATTTGACCTTAAAATTGACATCTAATCTGACGCACGCTCAAGTGTGTCTGTGTACACTCTCGGAATGTATATGACATGCATTAACTGAAAAATTCCCTACTATGGCCGTTTCATAGACTAGTGTTCTTTTTTGTGTGTGAAATATACAGAACATTTATCTATCTGAAAATGTCATATATTGATTCATGATTTAAAATCGATGTTTTGCTTTTACTATCTGATAGAAAATTAAAAAAAAAAAAATCAATAGCCTATTTCTTACATAAATTTCCATTAATCATCCATTTAAATGGAAGCTAGGATAAATAAACATGGAATAACGAAAGATATTAAGAAATTTGACATTATAATGATATTGCACAGTAGA